TATATATATATATATATAATTTCAAACTTTGGTTTAGAATTTCTCAAAGATGACATTATCACATCTCTATTAATCTCTTTTCTAATATATGCTTGTATTTATTTATTTGGACAAAAGTATGTACGCTTACCTACCAAGACCGGTCACTTTGACTTTTTTTTTTAATTTAAACAATCGATACAAAATAATCAGTTTGCTTATGATTTATGAAACAAATGTGCTTAATCATGCATATACATGTTTCAAAACTAAAATGTGTCATTAATAAAATTCTATAGTATTTTCTTTGTAGTATGAATTCATATTATTATTTATTTGTTTAGCTACAGCGAATTACTGTTATTTTGTAAATATACGGAAATTTGCTAAACTCGTAATAATTCATAGACTGTGAATTATTACGCGTGTAATAAATACGTACAAGTAAGTAGTAATCATTCATGAAATCGTTAAAAAACTAACTAATTAATATTTTATACCTCTCTTTAACTGGAGAACATATTTTATTATTGTCGTTTATATTTCATGCTAGTGTTATATTTTAAAAAAAAGTAATGAAGAAGAAAAAACAAATCGTTATTGTCGAACGTTATGAGTAATGTAAAGTGAGAGATAACGGTATAATAAAATAAGAAAATCGAATAAGAAATGTATATATATATATATATATGAAGTTGTGCCTGGTATGGATGTGTGTACTTTATGGACGCAGTAAAAAGGACGAAGCGTAGCAATCCATGCCGTGATATTTGCTTTAATAAAACCAACATTACCCACAGACAAAGACTAAAAGAGGTTCGATTGATCTCGTGATTTCATGAAAACTGAAGCGAATATTTAAAAGGAACGGACAAACATAGATAACTAGAAAATTATAAGTAAATATAGTTACCGTTATTCCATAAAATTGTTCGTTATAATCTGTGTAAAGTTTTCATGAAATATTTTCTTTAAATCTATAGAAATTACTCGAAGTCGGGTAAATATTGTTTATTATTGATCGGTTCAATTTTGGCAACTGCTTGTATATTGAATTTTGTTAAATTTGATAGATAATTTAAAAGTATTTTTACTATATACTTTACAAGTCTTAATAATAAAATAATTCTGGAAGATTTTTTTAATGCCGAGAAAGTTTGTAAAGTTACGGGATTTCCCGGGAAATTTTATTTAAAAAGAACATAGAATATAATTTCCCGGGATATCCCGGAAAACACCTACTAACATATATTAATATGGGTTAAGTTACGGTAGTGGTCTAACTTAGACTCCGGTCCAAGTCCGGCAACTCTCCCTTATATATTTATAGGTGTTTTATAGAATATCTATACAAATTGTTAAAGTATGAAAAGTTTGTTATTCTATAATTTCTCTAGTTAATGTATAGAATAATAGTAGCGCTTGTTATTATGTAATTATAATTCTATATATTCCTCTAGTAGTAATCTTATATAATGACTAGGTAATGTATATAATTACTAGATAAATTATTAAAATATATAAATTAACTATCGATTTCATGAAATACATAGAATATCGATAATATAAACTTTAATGGTAACATATGCATCAAATAATTTTGGTAAATGGATGGGAGGAAGCTTTGAGCCTCATCCATCGATTTTCGATTAGCGCTCATTCATCGTGGTGCGGTTTTTTTCGTTGGGACTTTTGGGGGGTGGTTTTAGGGGGTTATTTTCATGTAAGATTGGCTATTAGGGTTGGTGTCGGAGAGGGCGCTAGTGGTTTAAAATTAATACTGAACCAGTAAATGCATCTTCGTCATCGTATTCTTCGCCTCCGGCTGGTAAATCCATAATCAATTGAGCTCCCGTCAAACTTTGCAGCAGGATGTCATCCGGACAGCAGACGCCCACGTGGCTGAAATGACAAAATTACAATGATTTACTACACTTTTCTTCAACATCTTTCACCCTAATTAGGTTACTTTATCTTGCAATGAAATTAAGGATGATGCTCTGATATAATGCGAGTATTTTAAAGCACAAGCACATGCTTTGGTGCACTTCAAGCAGATGACCTTGATTTTAATGCTCTGAAATTTATCAAAGAAAATTTAAACTAATAATCAAAGACAAACATATTTTACGAAAGAAAATATTAATTAATTATTTGAAAATATTAATTAAATTAATACAGTGTAAATAGACAAACAAATTAGTGGACAAATAACGGATGTTGGAAATTATTAGCATATGATGTCGAGTTCGGATGCATATATTTGCGAAATCATAGTCCAATTAACGTACGCCGACTGTAAAATATACATTCGCAATAACATCGAGTACGTTCATGCGAATAAACCAAAAAAAATAGATACATGTATTTGAAGATAATTAACGTACATTAGCAAAGAAGACTGTAAAATATACGTTTGGAAGAACATTTAATACATTCGTGCAAACAAAAAGGCATTTATATACATTGTCCGTTTAAAGTACAGAAATTTGTGCACGAATTATCCACAACACTACTTCGTACAGTTTGAATGGTTTATTTTTATATGTATTTACTTCTTTGATTAATACGGTTTCAAATACACGAATATATATGTGATTATCCGCACTATGCGAGGTATTATTTGTTTTTATGAGATTAAAATAATTGTTTTTTTTTATGTTAATAATAGTTCATTATTACAATTGTAACAGGACAAATTTTCGACGTTGAAAAAGGATAAGGATTTTATATCATAACATTATATAAATTAATGTACAATATTTTTTTTGTATGAATTTGAATGATGATAAGTGGCGTTATCTGGATTTAATTTTAGATATTAAATATTTGGAATGTGAATTGAAATTAAATTTTACGATCGATGTGGAATCCAATGTATTTTACGGAGTGAGAAAGCTTTATTGTATTATTTTTCATTTAATATGAGAAATGTGAATTTTTTTTATAATTCATTCTTTTTTTACTCGCCACGTGTTATACAATCTAATTTGAAAATGCGAGGAAAAATAAACGTGATATAATCGGAATAAATTATATAAGAAGGATGAGAAACGAGAATTTTTTTTTTCAGTTCTTATGTTACGTAACCATTAAAGGATAATTGTAGACATCACATTTTTCAGAATATGAAACTTAAATAAAAATATAGGAAAATTGAATTATTGCAATAAATTTACTTGATCTAAGTTAGTTAAGTGATACATGATGTGTAGTTACGAAAGTTTTGAGAAACGTGTGTCGAGAAAATTGATGGCGAACTTACAACACGTAATAAATATTGATCTGAAGGAAGTCTATGATGCTCTTCTTGTAAGAGGAGCACTCACCTGTTAACATTTTTTTTTATCACGTAACTGAATTTGCTTATTTCCGTTTAAAAAAAATGTATATTTTGTTCATCATAAATAGATTCATATCGGGTCCGCCAATATTCCGGACTGTTTGTAACCGGACTAATAGTGGATTATAAAACTAAAAATTAACCACCACAAAAACTGTATAAAAGCAACGAATGAACAAATTTGAATAGTAACTATTGGATATGCTAAACAAAACGTATTGACTAGTAATTTTTTTTTGTGAATGCGTACGTTGGTTTCGATTTTCCCATTGAAATGAGATACTACATAAACCATTATTAGCATCTCGCATTTACAAAACTCACAAAGACTGGTATTTGCTGTGAAAATACACGGGAGCCGAGTTGATCTTCTCAAACAGATTTGGACGGACACTGGAAATTCGTTTACTCCGGTTTGTAATTAACGTCGATAAATGTTTGTCCAACATCAGATTGTTGTGAAAATCGATAACTTTTCGTTACACAACGTCAGTTTGATTTCAAGGTATTTTGTAAATTATAACTAATAGAAGTACGGGATAATTGCGAAACCCGTACTAAGCGAGGTATGCGTAATATAATGGAGTTTCTGTTATTAAATTCGTTTAATGAAAAGGAGACAACAATTTAATGTTATTGTATTAAATCTGCAAGACAATAACAAAAATATGAGACTGAATAAAATAAAATTTAATAAAGGTTAAGAGTATTGTTGTATACGAAGATTACATTACGTCAAGCGTAAGGGACTCTTAAGAAATAATAAACTCGAATCATCCGTCGGATTTATTCGACAAAAACAATACAAATTATACTTGAAACTCGTTAATGAAACAATTTTTTTTTTATTCGAATTGAATAAAAAAAATATGTATTAAGCAATATTAGTGCATAAATATAAAATAATCTATATATTAGAAACAATAGGCGGAAAGACCCCGGTCGTTAGCCCTTTGGCCAGCCTATTAATATATATATATATTTTTAATTTTATGTTAGAATTTATTTATATGTAAAGAATGTACTTTTTTTTCTTATGTATTAATGTTTGACCAATAAAAAATACTTATAAATAGAAGCAATACTGGAATTTCATTTCTTGGACGATTCGGTCCCCGAACAATAATTTCATTTTCGGTTTACGAACCATTTTTACATAATTTTAAGATTGTTCCAATACCTATTAACATATTATATATTAATATAATACTAGGATTAATGATAATCATATGATAATGAAACAAATTGTTTATTACCATCACAATGTCCATTATATTACAGAGATTTGGTTTCAGTTGTAATTGCAGTATTATTCAATTACAGCAGTATACATTACTCAAATCGATCAGGAATGTGATTATCATCATCTAAGGATGTCGCGAATTTCAACTGTTTCTATAACATTGTATACAAATACAGTGTATGGACAAATTTATACTTAAATCATATTTTTTTTTTTCAAAAATATTACTGTGTTAAATTTCTTATAGGAGATTTATTGTGGATTATTTAAAATATGAAATAGAATGTTATTATTAGTTCCACATTTTTTAGGTTTTCAATAGAAGTTGTGGGTTTTCTGTAAAATCCGGATGTGTAGTCATCTAATAATCAGAGGATGCTCTATAAGTAAATGCATATTTGCAATTCGAATCTTTTGTGTATTCTAATTGAAATTGGGTTTCGTCGTTTGGTATAATGAAACCGTGTTATGCTATGGGGTTGGAGCACCGGCTTACCTGTACAAGGAATTGACCATGAATGTGAAATGAAATGCGCTCTTTATGGAAATGCTGGCAACGCCTACGTGTCTGAACTGTTCAAAAACGCAAAACACTGTCTTGTTTATTTCTCTTTTTTTTATATACATATTTTCTATTCGTGCTTCTTTTTTTTTTGTTTCATGTTCGTACGTTCCACAAGTGTGTTTTGCATTTGAAAAGTCGTGATTTATGTGGAAACAAGCATTGATCCGAGGAGACAATCTGTGCGTGCGATGCCGCCTCGCAATTCGCTCACATTTTTTCAATAATGCAGAGGTAGTCCAACGCTGCCTTCCCAGAGATGCCGACCACGTCCAAAGGGCAATAGATGACATGCTTGCAGTGCCCTTCGACCTCGCCGGGCGCGACGCATTCCTGATATCTACGGTTTAACTACAGACAATGTTAAGGTTTTGAACCGGTTTTCAAATTTTAAAAAGCATTATGAATATGTAAAAAAAAAATATTTTGATTAGAGACGTAAGAAAAAAAAAAACAAATTTAGTGAAGTTTTATATTTTTGTAATTTTATTAAAATAGTAAATTAAATTTGGAAATACTTGAATCTGAAAAACGTTTTTTTTTGTATATAAACCTTAGCTGATTTTTTATAGTTTAGGTTAACTAGTGATTATAGATCAGAGAGTTTTACCTTGTATCTTTTGCTGAGCCCTATGTACCTTTTGCTTCTGGAATGGCTCACATTGTAATCGTCGTTCAGGAAGTCGAAGTCTGGTCTATTGATCAGGCTGATTGAGCCTGGAAGTAGGCAAGTATATGAAATACAATAAAGATCCGAAGGGTCGAACTCCGAGGCCAAAGGGGAATTTAAGCGGTTGATTTAGGTTCGACGTCGAGGGAAGTTCTAATTACCTGCTGGTGGCATCCACCGGGCACTGCTCAGGACCACAAGGAACGTCAAGCAAACTATCGAGATCATTTCACACTAAACTAGTAAATTTTATTCTTTTCTCATTCATTTATATTCAGTATCAAAAATACAATTCGCAGATAAATTTGTTTCCTGTACTCTGCGATTGTGAATCACCTACTACACCCACCATACGATTACCAACATTATTATTTGGATTAATCTATTTTCATGTCCTAATTTATTCTAGCCGTTTAAATAAAAAAACTTAGTTCTTGTCAAAACAGTTTCATTCAATATTTATATTTATCAGACTTTACCAATTATTAAAATAAGTTACCTTAATTATTAATTTTGATAAATCCCATTAGAATTCAGTTAATGTACATAATTTCCATACGTTAAGTAAATGTACATTAGACAAATAGACATTCCCATATAAATGTATGCAGTTTTATTGGTACACATGCGTTTGTCATTTGCAGATGATGTTTGATGTTCTTACGAACGTACAATTATCCAATAACGTCATTTGTATACGTCACTTCGTTATATTATTGGACCTTAAATAGGCGAACGTACGTTAAAAATGTGTACGTTAAATGAACATTGCCTGTAATTTCTTATAGCATCCTATATTATTTGATTATACAAATTTGTACATTAGACAGACGAACAATTCCCATATAAATGTTCTTAATTTTAAATAAATTTTCTCTTTTTTTATACCCACTGGCGTGTCAGAGACGCCACGCAAGTAACGTAGGGACAATTAAAATGTTAGCATATTAAAAGGAAATATTTGTATACTTTGTGAAATGTTAAATAATTTATATAAAATAATATTTGATTTGAAAATAAATGGGATTTCCTTGAGATAATATGATTACTGCACTAAAAACATAAATTGAATCAAGTGAAACAAATTACCAATTACGGCGATGCACATGAGTAGATTCGATTTGCTAACTCTCTTTAATAGTTGTTATGATTTGTCAGTTATTTCTTCACTGAACTTGAAACTAATACCAGAATATGATCTCCAATTATCCTGAGAAACAGAAGATATCTTATATAAAACTAATAATTGAGTGACGTATTTCATTTCATTTATTTTATGAAATTAATTATAAAATTACTTTTAATCCGACAGAAATTTCTTTCTGATTACTTTTATTATTTATTCCCATCGGAAATCTTCCTACATCTGATAATATGTATACAAAAATAGTGCAGCTTTGATCAGTTTCGAAACAAACTAAATATAAATTCAATAATTTTTAATAATTCTATTAGATTCGGAATTATATTGTTTATATAAAAAACATGTAAAATCATTTATTTTAAATTAAATTTTATTGTTAAATAAACATAACATTTAAACATTTTAAATAATAAACAAATTTTACTCTTTACATTCATATATTTTTATTAATTTTATTTCCCGTATATAAATATTTTTAAACATTATTCTAAATAAACAAAAAATACATATTGTCAATTGATCAAAAAATCTTTCCACACTGTTATAAATACAGAAATACCTCGCATAGTGCGGGTAATCGGTTCCGTCAATAGTTTTATTTGAAACCGGACTAATCGAGTAACTAAATACATACAAGGAAACATGACGGTCAAACAGTATTTATAAAAAAATAATTTTATACAATATTTTTGTTAGAATTTATTTTACTCAATTTTTCAAATGTTTATACCGAGAAAATCCGAACTTATTGAAGAATAATTGCAAAAATTAAAAAAAAATGCCTATAAGAAGCGCTACTATTTTGTTTGACGAATATGATGATAATTAATTAATAAACTTTCTTATATAAAGAGTAAATATAAAAATGTACAAAACAAAATTTTATTAATTAGTTCACAAATTTAAAATCAATAATATTTATAATTAATGCAACAACTGACATTATTATTATACGCTTGAAATTACATTTGCGTTTTGTAAATTATATTTTTTTTAATGAGAATTTATAAAGACATAATACGTTAATAATTAGAACTTGATGTAATTAAGGACTAGCAGTATTGGAGTATTTCTCACAAATTCTGTGCTTTTATATAGTTTCTGGTATATTATATAAACTGTGGGTTATCCAATTTATAATAACTCTCGTCTCCATCAAATTTAACTGTAACGTCGGGCTGATGTGAAAGGTCCCCCATTTGCGCAACACCTTTTGTTTTCTATACGTGCCATTAGTTATTACAATAAAACCGACGTGTGGGGAGTTCGAAACACTTTAATTTATCTCTAAGTAATTGCAAACATACACAGCCACACGGCAATGCATGATAATTTCATGGCATCTAAGCAATTCTCTCCAGTAAACACAACAGGAAACACCTGGATGTATCCAGTTTTATTTCATTTTTTTAACGAGACTTCATATTTAGATTTCCCTTTAATCTGCCAGATTATGTCCAGTATCAACATCGGAGATGTACTAGGAAGGTATATACCACAGGTCGGCAACCGTTTTGGAGTAAAGATCCAATGAGATCTAGTGAGCCGCATGTAGTATTATGAGACGTTGGAATCTGCAATTTCCAATTAAAAGAGCCGCAGGTTGCCGACCCTTTCTAATTATTTATTTCTTCTTCTTCTCTCATCTGTATTTGTTTCTTTCTTCTTTTGTCATCTAACCATTTTTTCTTCTTCCCTGTAATTTGTTGTCCGAAATGATTTATATGGCAGTGAGTAGGTGTAACAGTGGATTGCAATTAATCATAGTCGAGAACTTTACATAAGGCTAGGCGTCTCAACAAATAAAGGTCATAACTACTAAAACATCGGCGGATGGAAGCCTCTTGTCGTGCGAACTTGTATACAAATGGATTAGTCTCAATTGGCGTTGGTGCATTGTTCACTTTCGGTATAACAATTTGTCTACTTTTTGCAACATTAGTGACTCATTCTCTAATTCGTATTTACTTAACAATTAATTAAACTATTCCACAAAAAAAAACTACGTCTTTGAAATATAACGATTGGATGCTTTCCAGAAAATTAATTCGTTAAGCGTAACTTCGTTTTCAGAGGTAAAATATTATAGCTGGAATACGCAAATTTCGTAAAAAAAATAAAATTAAAAAAAACTGAAAGTATGTAACGTGAAATTCAAATATTCATGCAGCAAAATTCAGCATTAAAACACATCGGTTTGGTCAAGGTCGCATTGAATGATTGATGCATAAAAATGCCATTTATAATTTAAAAACTAACGCAAACCATTTTTACTCTTAAAATGATGATAAAACAAAAAAAAACGCGTTTGTTTTCGAATTTTGCTACATTGATTTTTAAAATAACCTTCACCTATAATCAATTATTGCAATAACGAATAAATTTGAATTCACACTGATCGTACGGATTTGTATTATGTAAAACCTAATATTTACAAATATTTATAAGAAGTATTAACAAAAACTATTATAATCACTAATTAATTAATCAATTTAAATAGTAATTATTAAATGTTGAGTTTACAAAAATATGTAAGAATAGATAGAAAAAATGTAATTAATTATTTACTCATAGTTATAACATTTTTTAATAACTATTAAACAGAAATCATTATTTCCAGGTGCATTTCAGGAAAATTTAATTAAAAGTTTGTAAATACATTAAATGAATCCGTTTGTTTTGTAAAACTGCGTAATTATGTATGTAAATATGTTTTGTTGCATAAACTTTATTAGTAACATAAATATTTCCATATTTTCATCAGAATTTATCAACCTTTTAGCTTACAACATAGCCACCTGAATTAACCCATCAAAAAAGGGGTTGCAGACTCCTACATTATAAAATATTGATATTTAAGCATGTGATATTCCCGGGAATTCTCGGGGCTTCAAAAATTTCATAAATTACATATTTTTTAGTGCCATTTTCAATTTTAAAATTTCTCGATCTATAATTTCCAGGTATCGATACTATACATTTTTCCAAATTTCCCGGTTCAATAACCCTAGTATACATGCTATTTAATATCAAGTATGCAATAAAAATGAAGTTTAATATAGGTATATAAAATGAATGCACATAAAAGGTTTCAATAAAGAAATATTAATAAAAATAATTATTATCAAAATAAAATAGTGCACGAGAACCGAACAATAAATCTATAAACTACCCCCAATCGAATATTTCATTTCACCTACATTTACCGATTATTTTCAGCGTTTCACAGAACATGCGATATTTTCAGAGACTCGAGATAGGCTTATCATCAATCTTAGGAGGTGCTAGGCGCATTTTTTGGACTTCTCTGAAAAAGAAAGAAAAGAAGAAATACAAGAGCGGCTCGACGCGAACCAGAATTATCGGTCTGCATGATTTGCGCGAACGTGCGAAACTCCTGGGACTCTTTAATAAATCCCAGACCTTTTTGCCCTTTTCTCTACTACTCTTTCACATTTTTTTTTGTATATATATATTTGCTCTCACCCTGTTTCGTGCGTAAATCGTTAACGTTCTGCACTGGAATGCGCGTCGCATGTGTGCGAATGCTTTTTCTTCAGAAAAAAAAAGAATGAAGAAAAGTGAGGAAAATAGAATAAAACGTGGTTCGCGTGAAAAAAAGTTTTCAAGAAAGCTCTGCGAACTTTCGCAAATCCCAAAAGAATGATGAATATAAAAAGAGAAAGAAAATTGTCTGCAATTCTATTTCCATATAACAACATAAGTGTTGTGTATGTTAAATATTCTATAATTTATTTAAGAAACATTTACGTAATTTTATTCAAAGTTTATGTAATACGTCATAGAAATACAAATCTAGATGAGATATTACATTTTCTTTTGTTTATATTTTATGAAAATATTTATATTTGTGTAAAATGGTTACAATCACAACAGTTAAAATACCTCGGTTCTCGAACATAATTCGTTCCTATGGTTTGTACAAAAACCGAAATTCCATCTACCTGTCCAACATATTTGTTTAATAACAGAAACATTTTAACGAAGAATAAAAAATAATTGAAGCTTATTGGTTTTCCATTCATTAATTATTTCTTGTATTTTATCATTCATTCATAAAGATTTCATGAAAATAT